CTGACGGTGCCGCGCAGCCTCGGCGAGGAGTTCTACCGCGAGGCGCTCGAGCACTGTCGCAGCTACAACGCGCGGCTCTGCGCCGAGCGCAGCCTGCGCCTGCCCTTCCTCGACTCGCAGACCGGCGTCGCCCAGGGCAACTGCTACATCTGGATGGAGAAGACGCACCGGGGGCCCGGTGAGACCCCCCCGCCCGCGGGACTGTGTCCCCTGCACCCTTGGGTGTCCCTGTGCACCAGCCCCAGGCGCTTTCCTGGGCCCTGCGCATCCCAGGGTGCCCTCGCATGTCCCTGTGCACCCTGTCCCCATGCACCCTGCAGTGTCCCCATACACTCCATTATGTCCCCATGCACCCTGCAGTGTACCCATGCACCCTGCCGTGTCCCCATACACCCCATTATGTCCCCATGCACCCCGCTGTGTCCCCATGCACCCTGCAGTGTCCCCATGCACTCCATTATGTCCCCACGTACCCTGCCTCCATGCATTGTCTCCATGCACCATGTCCCCATGTGCACTGTCCCCGTGCACCCTGCTATGTCCCCATGCACCCAGTCATGTCCCATGTCCCCAGCCACATCCCCATGCCCCTAAACATGTCCCCATGTGCTGTCCCTATGCACCCCAATATGTCCCCATGCACCCCAATATGTCCCCATGTGCCCTGTCCCCATATATTCTGCCACGTCCCTGTGCACTCCTCCCTGTCCCCGTACATTCTGTCACGTCCCATGTCCCCAACCACGTCCCCATGTACCCCAGTATGTCCCCATGCACCCTGTCCCCATGCACCCCAATATGTCCCCATGCGCCTGTCCCCATGCGCCCCCCCCAGGGGTGTCCCTGTCCCTCTCCCCCATTGTCCCCTTGCCCCTGGGGCCCTGGTGACGCCCTGCGCCCGCAGGACTGGCGCCGGGGCAGATCTACACATACCCTGCGCGCTGCTGGCAAGAAGCGGCTTTTTTTTTCATCCTGGAGGCCCCGCGGCTGCGGCCCTGTGAGTGGCAGCGTGCTTGGAGATAGGGGACATGGAGACACGTTGGGGTGCATGGGGAGCGGGCGCATGGGGACGTATTGGGGTGCATGAGGAGAGGGTGCAAGGGAATGTATTGGGGTGTGTGAGGAGAGGGTGCATGGGGATGTATTGGGGTGCATGAGGAGAGGGCGCAAGGGAATGTATTGGGGTGCATGAGGAGAGGGTGCATGGGGATGTATTGGGGTGCATGAGGAGAGGGCGCATGGGGACGTATTGGGGTACACGGGGACGTGGTGCATGGAACTTGCACACGGGGACATTTTTGGGTGCATGGCGATGTGGCCGGGAACAAGGGACATGAGAGGGTTTACGGGGACCCTGGTGGCATGAGGACCCCCCCGGCACCCTCCTCACCCCCCCCCCCTTGGTGCCCGCAGACGGCGAGGCCCCCCTGAAGAAGGAGGGGGGGCTCCCCGAGGGGCCGGTGCTGGAGGCCCTGCTCTGCGCCGAGCCCGGCGACAAGAAGGCCGAGCTCAAGGAGGAGGAGGCTGCGCCCGCGGCCTCCCAGGTGCGGCCGGCCGCACGGCCCTGCGTGCGGCTCTGCGTCCCTCCCGGCGTCCCCGTGTCCCTCCTCGCCTGTCCCTGGGTCCGAGTATCCAGTGCCATCCCTCTGCAGCCGCCTGTGGGTCCGTGCGGCCGTCCCCGGGTCTGTGCAGCCATCCCCGTGTCCCTGTGTCCCTCCTTGGGTCCATGCATCCTTCCCGACGTCCGTCCCCGTGCCTGTGCATCCCTCCCTGCATCCATGCAGCCATCCCCGGCTCCATGTGACCATCCCTGTGTCTGTGCATTCCCTCCCCGCGTCCACCCGTCCGTCCCCTGGGTCCGCGTGTCCATCCTTGTGTCCAGAAGCCGCCCATGGGCGAGTTCCCTCACGAGCTGGAGGGTGACGAGCTGGAGGACGACACCCCACGGCGCAAGAACAAGAACAAGGGCAAGGCCCGCGCAGTCTGCGGGAAGCGCTACAAGAACCGGCCCGGCCTCAGCTACCACTACACGCACACGCACCTGGCCGAGGAGGAGGGCGAGGAGAACGGCGAGCGCCACGCGCTGCCCTTCCCGCGCAAGAACAACCACAAGCGTGAGCACAACGTGAGCACAACGGCCCCCCGGGCCAGCCGGGGGGGTCCTGCTCCATCCCAGAGGCATCCTGGGCCGGCCAGGGCGGGTCCCTGTCCATCCCGGGGGTGTCCCGGACTGGCCCGGGGGGTCCCGGTCCATCCTGGGGGAGCCCTGTCCCATCCCTGGGGATCCCAGCCCCATCCTGGGTATCCCATGCCCATCCCAGGGGGTCTCTTCCCCATCCTAGGGGTATCTCAGCCCCTTCTTGAGGGGGAGGGTCCCTGTTCCATCCTGGAGGTCTCAGGGGTCCTTACCCCATCCCTGGGGGGGTCCCAGGCCCATCTTGGGGATCCCATCTCCGTCGCAGGGGGCCCCTGCCCCATTCTAGAGGGATCTTGGCCCCCATCTTGGGGGGTCCCTGTCCCACCCCTGGGGGGTCCCAGCCCCATCCTGGGTATCCCAGGGATCCCATCCCCAGCCCAAGGAGGGGTCTCTGCCCCATCCTGGGACTCAGAGCGCTCCCGGCCCCATCCTGGGCAGGCTCCAGGGCTCCCTCCCCCATTCCCGGGGATTCCCCCTCCGTCCCTGGGAGGTGCCAGGGGTTCTGCTCCACCTGGGCAGGGTCTCAGACTCATCCCGCGGGATCTCTGCACCATGTGTGTGTGTGTGGGGGGTCCCCCCCCCATCTTCGAGGGGGGCTGGGGCATCTCCCCCATGCAGGGAGGCCCTAGGGGTCC